GGGGGCACAGCGCCCCAGGGCTGCCTGAGGGGGTTGCCGGCGGGCAGCACAGCAGGGCTGGGGGGGCTTCTGGGGAGCTGCCTGGGGGGACGCCCGCCAAAGGCCCCCTCCCACCTGCCAGGCTGGCCAGCGTACCCACAGGGCCCCGCCCGTGACTGAGCCAGGCGCTGTGGGGGCGGCCATGGGAGCTCGAGAACCCTGTGCTCAGATCTCTGCCCTGAAGGGTGTCCAGGGCTTCAGGGCCGGGCTGGACAGGGCCATTTGCCTAGCGGTGGAAGCCACGAGTCGCCGCCTGGTCACCCAAGGTGCCCCAAGGCTGGGCACGCCTGGCCAACGCGGCAGAACCCGGCGCCTGCACAGGCCGGCGGGGCGCGCCAGGGCGGGCGGCAGCTGCGGGCCGGGCTCGCGCCGGGCTGTCCGGTGGGTTCACGTTGCTTCCGAACCTCACGGAGGCGATGCTGGAGTCACATGTTCAAAACTGACCTCCCGGGGGCCTCGGGGTGCAGACGGGCCACCTGGCCACCCTGGGGTGGACACAGGGTCAGGAGGAACGGGGGCAGGTCAGCTTGCAGGGGTACACGCTGGAGGTGGGGGCGCAGGCACGTGGTGTGAGCGCCCAGCTCCAGACCGGCGGCTCCCGGGGCTGTGGGTGCGAACTGTCAGTGCCCAGAGAGGCTGGGCACCGGGGGGGAGGCCCAGCCGTGGGGTGGCCAGGCCAGGCGCGGTCCTGGCAGCGGGGTGGGGGTGGGGCTGACGCTCCGCCCACTCCTGCCCAACTTCAGAGTGCGTGGAGGGCCCCAACGTCGCAGCCATCGTGGGGGGCACCGTGGCGGGCATCGTGCTCATCGGCGTCCTCTTGCTGGTCATCTGGAAAGCCCTGACCCACCTGAGCGACCTCCGGGAGTACAGGCGCTTCGAGAAGGAGAAGCTCAAGTCCCAGTGGAACAACGTGAGTGGCCCGAGCCCACGTCCCCGGTGGGCGCGTCCCGTCCTCCGCGGTCGGCCGCTGGGCCGCACCGGGGGTCTGCTCTGGGCTGCACCGCGGGCAGGTCCCGCTGCAGCCCACCCACCAGCTGCCGCTGGTTTTATTTGACAGGACAACCCCCTGTTCAAGAGCGCCACCACCACAGTCATGAACCCTCGCTTCACTGAGAGTTAGGTGCCTGGCGCCGCCCAGGGGCCCTCCAGGCGCCCAGAGGGACCCCACCCGCCTCCCCAGGCCCCTGCGGCCACCCCCCTTCCCAGGCCCGCCAGGCCCAGTCCCGCTACCCCCCTGGCTATGCCCTGCCCGCCCCAGCCCACAGCCCAGGGCCACCCAAGCCCCGCCCGCCAGGCCACATCCCCCTACCCCGCCCGAGCCCCACCTGGCCGCGCCCCCGGGGACCTGCCTAGCACTGGACAGCTTGACGCATCCAGCCACTGCCTTTTCCTGGCCTCGAAATGGCAGGGTGACCAGGGTCCTGCGCCCCTCTGATGTGCTCACGCTCCCGACTTGACAAAGGGGTCTCTCGTCTCCTGGGGTGACACGGGGCGCTCCTGCGTGAGCCCGAGGCAGGCCGTCTGCTTAAGATGGAGCGAAGCCCCCGGGCGCAGGGTCAGAGTGCAGCGCTGCAGGTGGCCGCAGCTGCCCCACCCCGGTGCGACCCTGGGCGCAGCAGACCCCCCGTGTCCCTCCCCCCTCTCAGCAGTGGGTCTCCCTGGAAAGGCCTGCTCCGCTCCCCACTCTGTCTCTGGGGAGTCCTCTCACCACCCCCTCCCCCCGCCTGCACCACCCTCTGTGTGTCAATACATAAATCTTACAAGAAACGCCGGTGCGCATATTTACAGCTGAACCCCCAGGGCTTAAAGGCTCCCGAGGGCTCGGCCCAAGCCACCCCCGGGGCCCCTCGGGGCCAGCAGCAAGGCGCTGTCGTGACCCCTTGCCCGCACGGGCATGTCTGAGGGTCCCGTCCCTAAGGCGTCCTGGCGCTGGGCCCCAGCTCCCGCCATGCCTGTCCCCCACAGAGGCGGCAGGGTGGGGCTGCGGGCGCTGGCTCCGGTGGCCGTCGCTGCCGTTGACAGAGGCCCTGTGATCGTGGGGTACGGCTTAAAAAGGTCAAAAGCAGCGCCCCCAGGCAGGTCTGGGAGGCCGGACTCGCTAAGGGAAAGGGCAGTGCTGCAGCGGAGGCCCCGAGACCGGCCACTGGGCAGGGCAAGCCAGCCCCCTCCGGCCAGAGGCCGCGCCAGGCATGGGGGTCCCCGCAAGCTGGCACCCCACGGCGGAGGCTGAGAACAGCAGGAGGGAGCAAGCCGGGCCGCCTCCCTCCAGCAGGACCTGTCCACGCCCCCTGCCCAGCTGCGGCTGCCTGCGGAGAGGCCTCTGGGCTGCTGCCATCACTTTCCTGCAGCGGGCAGGTGGGGGCAGGGCCTCAGGCCACAGGCGCCCTCTGCTCAACCCCAGGCACACGCTCACTGAGATGACTTGACAGGCCTGGGGACCCCAAAAGGAACAAAAGGGTTTCAACAAGAGTGGTGTAGCCGCTCTGGGAAGGAACTTCGGCCGCGTGGGGGAGGATGGCGCCGAGCTGGCCAGCACGGCGTGGGGAGGGCCGGACAGGACACCAGCTGAAGGGGCAGGGCCTCTGCGCGCCCACGCACCCGCCCACAGGACAGCCTCGGCCGCACCCCACACGATGCTGCTCCCAGCACCGTGTCCCCCCGCTTTGTCCCTCCCTCCTCCAGCCCACGTCGCTCCCCCCTCACGGCACCGCGTCCACTCTCCCTCGCACCCCGTCCCTCACCGCCACTGCGTCCCCGCGTGGTCCTGGGGCCGGTGACCTGAGCTAAGCAGCCTGACCTGGCCACGGCCTCCAGCCGGGCCCTGGGTGAATGCTGCTTCTTCCCACGGCGTCCGCCCCGCGTCCAAAGAGACCGCTGACCCTCGCGCCCCACTCCCCACAGCCCCGACTCGTGGGCAGGCAGAGCAGGGCCGGGGCAGAAGCGGGGTCTGGGCCGCTGAGTCACCTCCGCCTGCTCCCAGGCCCGGATCCCTGCTTCCTCTGTGCCCTATGACGGCTGGGAGGGCCCCCGCCTCTGGGGTGCTGGCCCGGGCTGCAGGCGGAGGCGGGCGGGGGTGGGGCGCCGTGCCCTCCGTACAGGGCGCTCTGACCACCACGCGGAGGTGCGTGGCCCCCAGCGGGCGTCACAGTCTGGCGCTGACTGTGCAGACAGCGAGGGGGAGGGCGCTGGCTCCCCAGGGCCCTGCTGCCAGTGGTCAGCGCCCAGGGGCTGCGGCTGTTGGCCGCCCAGGCGGCAGAGGCTGGCGCAGGTCCGGCGCGGGCGTGCAGTGCCCCTTGGCCTGGGCTGCGGGGCAGCTGCATCCCGACTGCGTGGGGCCGCCCAGGGATGGCAGCCGGGTCGGGGACTGTGGCTGGACCCCAGTGTGCTTGCCAGGCTCCCTGAGCGTCCCGGTGGACAAAGTCCCCTTCCACTCGCTGGGCGGCGCCCCTGAGGGCGGGTCAGGGGACTGCTGTGGGCACCGAGACGGCAGAGGCCTCCCTGGACAGGACACGGCCGGCCACAGCCCACAGCTGGCTCCCTGCGCGTCGGAAGGAGCAACTACCCCACACCCCGCTTCCACTGTAACACAGCCCCCCAAAGAGCGCTGCTCTGGCGGCGCGGGGTGCGCGCCCAGGAAGACCTGGGGGCCCTCTGGCAGTGCCCGAGGCGCTGCCCCTGTGCCCCAGGAAGCGGGAGTCTCAGCGACGTGGAGGGCGCGCTACGTACTGGGGAGACCGTAGTGGGCAGCTGCCCCCGGGCCCAGACTGGCCGTGGCAGGGCGGCCTTCCAGGCTGCCGGAGAAAGTGGGGGGACACGGAGGAGCGGGTGCCCTTCAGGGTTTTGACGACCGGAAGAAAGTGGGCGGCCAGCAGAGAGGGCGCCCCTCAGGTTTCAGCGATCCTGAGAGGGAGGCCAGGCCGAGGGTCTCCCGGGCCTCACCACAGTCCGCGGGCAGCCCGGGAGGAGGGCGGCGGCACCTAGTGACCGCGGCCCCTTCGGGCCAATTGCGCGCCCGCCCAGCCCGCGCCGCTCCTCCTTCCCATCGGCCTCGGCTGCGGGCCTTTCAAACATGGAGGAGCGGGAGAGGGGGGCGAGGCCGGCCGGCGCCGGGAGCCCCGCGCGC